TGATTAAAGCTCTGTAGGTTTAAATTTTATAATGCAATGCAATGCAATGATGATTGAGTGATAAAAAAACTGATGATCATATTTAATACTCACATTTTAACATGATTATTTTCAGCAAATACACTGAATGCATACAATGTTAAACCATACATAAAATTAGCGTATGGATAATCAAGTGAACCAAAGTTGCTTCAGTCCAGCAAGTGTTCATCTTGAATTATTTATTATACAATATAAGTTATTTTTATTAACTTTATAAAAATCAGTAAAGATTTCACAGCAAAAACACATGTGAACCACGACCTGAAGCGGGACATTTTTACAATTATACTAAAAGGCTTTTTACTTCCTGAAGATAGATTGGTAGAACAGGATTTTCAGCAAAGTTTGGATCATGTTGATCGTTTAGACGCCTTAGAAATGTATACAGGCTTCATTGTTAACCTGCATGATTAACTGAGTTTTTAAATTGTATTGTATGGAAATCAGTGTAAATATAAAAGTCAAACATGGTCTGATTTTTCCCTGAAATCAGATGAACAACTAGAGCAACTGTATATGAAGAGTTCAGACGCAAAAGCCTTTAAATGCCATTTGAAATTTTCTTCTTTAATGATGATTTTTATCAAACTTGTATATTTAAGTTCAGTGATTTCACTTAAATGGCAATGATAATTACCTATTAATTGTTGTTTAAGTGAAATTACTGAACTTAAATATACAAGTTTGATAAAAATCATCATTAAAGAAGAAAATTTCAAATGGCATTTAGAGGCTTTTGCATCTGAACTCTTCATATATAAATATATAACAACAACTATATATATATAGTTACAAACCTCAGAAAGGTGCTGATAGAGTCAAATATTTAACATTTAAATTGATGTTATTCTGTTGTTAAGTAACTATAATTTTATATTTAGTTTGTTGTCATTAAACTGTTGCTCTATTATGACAATAGTTGATCTGAAAGACAATCTGACCATAGAAGATGAATTGTGTGTTTGCATACTTGTGTTTCCTGCCTCTTGCTCACACCACACACACACACACACACACACACATTTCAATTTCTAGATTTGTCTTTCATCTTCTCTGCTCTCAGATCTGGGTATTTATCTGAGGAACAAGGACAGTCAGTAAGTGTGTGTGTGTGTGTGTTATCAGTTTCTATCAGTCAGGTGGCTTATTCTGAAAAGCCATTTCCGTCCTGACATTCGCCTATTTTGAGTTTGCTGGTTTGCGCTGATGTTAGTGGAAATAGAAGTGACATGTTTCTGTCACAAAACTATAACAATACAATTCAGCTGAATTATTGCACTTTAACCAACACACACACACACACTTCAGTTTGACTCCTGCAGACTTTCACTTTTATTCTGAAGTTGAACATGCACTTGTTCTGTGTAAGTAGCCGATATGGTAATATTACAAGATGATTTCACTGAGGTCCTTTTCATAACTGCAGCAATGGGTTTACATATTTATATTGTGTGTGTGTGTGTGTGTGTGTGTGTGTTTATGATGCTTTACTGTGCCATCACACCCTTTACTGCACTTCAATCTCCTTCATTTATTAACTGCTTGTTCCACATAGGGTCATGGGACCATTTTATTTATTTTATTTTATTTCAGACCAATTGTAGGGTCGTGTTGATTTTATTATATTTTATTATTTACAAACTGCTTGTCCTATGTGGGGTCATGGGAATGCTGGTATATTATATATTATATTATTCATTCATTACATATGTTTTCCAAATGACTTGTCTCTTGTAGGCTTGTGGAGATGCTGGAGCATTTATTATTTTATTATTACATTTATATTGTGGAGTCGTGTGGATGCTGGGGCCTTTATTTTTATTTTATTTAATTTTATTCTCTTTATATTTAGACTTTTATATGTTAAACAATAAACATATAAAACTTAGCAAACACATTATATACTTAAGTTTGCACATTGTTTGAAGATCTTTGGAAAAGTGGGGATATATACTACAGCAAATTATTCAGAGAAAAAAATCTACATATTTAATGATTATCGAGTTGCGGCCTACATTTATGCCACACTTTTTGATTTTCCTCTCAGATGTTTCTTAGATTTACTGCAGTGGCTCTTTTACCAGTTTCAAAGAGTCTGTCAGCTGGATAATCTTCAGACATTTCTTATTAAAAATATACTTTGTTAATGTTTTTCCCAGTCCACCGTATTTACTGGACACATACAGAGAGACACATGCTGGAGGTAATCTCCATAATCCTCCCTACTGGCACTGTGTGTTTCTCCTGCTTTATGAATAGTGTAAACCAGAGTTATGATTGCAATACTGAATACACACACACACACACACACACACAAAAAACACAGATGTGATGTATCATAGCACAGATATATCTGCCTTCCTCCAGTAGAATAGAGGAATTACACTGCTGTGTTATCTGCGTCCTGCTACAGAAGTGTGATTCACACAACTACCAAAATAATCCAACACTTTCAGAAAGAGACGCATACAGGATTATCTAGGGAAGATTGTGTGTGTGTGTGTGAGAGAGAGAGTGTGTTATAATGCTGTAAGATTGCATATAGACCAAAAACAAAACTTTGCAACAAAAACTAAATCGCTTGCATTGCTGTCAATAGAGCTGTCGCTTCAGCTTAAGATGAAAGATGGCCTGTTAAATAAAGGCATTTACATGGATTTATTTTTGTGCATTTTTATATATTTATAAAGAAAACCTCCTTGCATTTTGTGATGTTTCTGGCTTACTAACCATCTTTTTATTTCTAACCATTTGTGTGTGCGTATATACACTCACCTAAAGGATTATTAGGAACACCATACTAACATCGCCTTCAGAACTGCCTTAATTCTACGTTGCATTGATTCAACAAGATGCTGAAAGCATTCTTTAGAAATGTTGGCCCATATTGATAGGATAGCATCTTGCAGTTGATGGAGATTTGTGGGACGCACATCCAGGGCCACCACATCCCAAAGACGCTCTATTGGGTTGAGATCTGGTGACTGTGGGGGCCATTTTAGTACAGTCAACTCATTGTCATGTTCAAGAAACCAATTTGAAATGATTTGAGATTTGTGACATGGTGCATTATCCTGCTGGAAGTAGCCATCAGAAGATTATATGGGTGGCCATAAAGGGATGGACATGGTCAGAAACAATGCTCAGGCATTTAAACGATGCCCGATTGGCACTAAAGGGCCTAAAGTGTGCCAAGAAAACATCCCCACACCATTACACCACCACCAGCCTGCACAGTGGTAACAAGGCATGATGGATCCATGTTCTCATTCTGTTTACGCCAAATTCTGACTCAACAGAAATTGAGACTCGTCAGACCAGGCAACATTTTTCCAGTCTTCAACTGTCCAATTTTGGTGAGCTCTTGCAAACTGTAGCCTCTTTTTCCTATTTGTAGTGGAGATGAGTGGTACCCGGTGGGGTCTTCTGCTGTTGTAGCCCATCCGCCTCAAGGTTGTGTGTGTTGTGTCTTCTTCACAAATGCTTTGCTGAATACCTCGGTTGTAACGAGTGGTTATTTCAGTCAAAGTCGCTCTTCTATCAGCTTGAATCAGTCGGCCCATTCTCCTCTGACCTCTCGCATCAACAAGGCATTTTGGCCCACAGGACTGCCGCATACTGGATGTTTTTCCCTTTTCACACCATTCTTTGTAAACCCTAGAAATGGTTGTGTGTGAAAATCCCAGTAACTGAGCAGATTGTGAAATACTCAGACACCAACAACCATGCCACGCTCTAAATTGCTTAAATCACCTTTCTTTCCCATTCTGACATTCAGTTTCACCCCTAAATGCATTGAAGCAACTGCCATGTGATTGGTCGATTAGATGCTGAGAGGCAAAATAACTTAAGATATTAGGTCTTGTTTACTGAAAAGAAATGACCCCACTGCTATTTTTGTCTTAAGCATAAACTTACAAAATGTTGGTATATTTTCAGAAAGCAAGACTTCTGAAGTAATTTTAGATATATACATCTTAAGTAATTTTGCTTCTCAATTAAATGTCTCTTGATTCAAGAATGTTTTTATTTTATTTTTAATAGAAAACAAGGTTAAACAAGAAATACAGTTTAGTTCTACCATGATAAACCATTTTCATTTTCATTTCACAGGCGTACGAGGAACTCACATGACTATATTATTGTGTGGCAAATAATATTGAGGAAGCGGCATCATTTTATTCATGTCGTTCATTTAGAGCGGTTCTCTGAAACAAGCCTCCATTATGTCAAAAACTCACATTCTCATCACGATAAAAGTGTAAAATTACAGCCCCACGGCAATGTTCAATTCCTCCTTGTAAATTCAGAAATGTCGATTCAGATGAGAATTAATTTAACATGCAACCCCCGATGTTTGTCAAAATCACTAGATTGTTCAGCCTGGAAGTTTCTCCTGCAGTCTTTGGAGAAAATCATTGACATTTCTGTTTCAGACGGCAATAAAATCACATTCTAGCGGATGTAATTGCCGAAATTACCTTAAACCCTCACAAAAAATAACAACTCCGTTTGAATAAAGCTCTTGATTTTATTCTGCCGAGGTTTCCCTTCTGTTTCAATCACACATACAATTCTTAAAAAAGAACAATCTTAAATGAGATCTCTTTCATATCCCAACATTTTCTCCTGATGAGATTTCAATATGTGCTGAAACATTTCAGATCTGAGCTGTTCCATTTGATGTATGTCCATCATTTTAGGACCAGTGAACTCCATTAACTCTCCTGAGTCATAAAAGAGAAGCATCTGAGCAATAGAAAAAGTTTAGTCACTCTGTACAGGGACTATAAATGTTTCTTTGTCAATACGTTTATAAATAAAGCGAAAGGAAATGAATATTGTTTAAAGAGCTGAATGTAATCAGCGTTCCTCAGTTCAGTGTCAAAGAGACAGATATGTATATCATCAGAACACAGACGTGCTCTTTTAAACCGTGTGCTTTTGTGTTTGTTTAGGCTGCAGTGATGCTGATTTGAGAAGTTTAGCATCCAGACTCAAAGACTGGTTCGGGGTTTTGCACACAGACGCCAACAGAGACCTGAAGACCACCACGAGCGACACTGCACAAGGACGTAAGTGAGCCTCTGTGTGTTTGAAAATGGTGAAACATTTATTCAATTGAAGCTCAGAGTCACAACTAGAGCTTTACCCGATTGTTTGCATGTTTATGTACCCGATATCTGATATGCAGAAGTTATTGCGATAGTTATTGTTTTGAGAGTGCAGAATAAATAAAGTGCTTGTTTTAAGTGAGAGCTTTGGTCAGGTATGTAAACAGGTAACAAATAAAGCAATGGAAAATGCTTTAAAAAACATTCTAATCTGCCTGAATAATAATAAAAAGCATTGCTACTTTAGTGTATCTTAGCACTCTTTCATCTTTGTTTTTTTTTAACCACAGCAGCGACACATATTAATAATAGGTCAAATAAATTCATAGTCTAATGTTTTCAAATGGTGAATAATAATATATATATCACCTTTTCATATGTGTAATCAGTTTTAAAGAGTATATGTTTTGGTATAGGGTACATCTACAATCTACTTCACTGGAATAAATACACAATGTCAGGAAAATAACAAACAAAACATACTTATCAAATACATCATTGCAATTACCGAATCTGTCTCAACTGGCTTGTTATCTGAATTATTAATAACGTCTCAGACTGGTAGATTATAAAATACCTGCTGACAAAGCACTGTTTTTATCTATGCATTTACTTTTTAGGGCTGAATTAAAGGGATTATTTATTATAAATATAATTTATTTTAATTGTTTATTGGATTTAACTAATATGTTCGTCCCCCACGAGTATAAACCTGACCGTTTTTCTCTTTCTCCTGTAGGTTTTGACACAAGCATTTTACCCATCTGTAAAGATTCTCTCGGGTGGATGTTCAACAAGCTGGACATGAACTATGACCTCCTCCTCGACCAATCAGAGCTCAGCGCCATTTACCTCGACAAATACGAGCTGTGCATGCGGCCGCTGTTCAACTCCTGCGACTCCTTTAAAGACGGAAAGCTGTCCAACAACGAGTGGTGTTACTGTTTCCAGAAACCTGACGGTGAGTCTGCTAAAAAAATGAGCCCATTGCGGTTAGTAGATGATCTTCAGATATACTTAACCCAGAATATTTCATAATTTCAGTCACTGAAACTGTTTTAAATGTGTTTCTTCAGGCATGCCATGTCAAAATGAGATGAACAGAATTCATTCTCAAAGCCGAAGGAAGATACTGATAGGTGGGTGGATTTGATGAACTGGTGTTAGCTCCTCCCCCTGACCAATCAGACCAATCGTTTGTGTGATTCTCTCTGTCTGTAGGGACGTATGTACCGCGCTGTACTGAAGACGGTTATTTTAAGGCCACTCAGTGTCATGGCAGCACCGCTCAGTGCTGGTGTGTCGACAAATACGGCAACGAGATCGCAGGATCCCGCAGACAGGGCAACCCTACCTGTGGTAAACACACACACACCAGTGCCATTTTAGGATTACATATATTAATATACAATTATTTTATATAATAAATTAAATGAGCTTTTATTTTTATATTTTCAGTTTTAAATTTTGTAATTTTGTTGCTTTCACCATTTTTTAGTGTCCATATATGAAGAGTTCAGATGCAAAAGCCTCTAAATGCCATTTGAAATTTTCCTCTTTAATGATGATTTTTACCAAACTTGTATATTTAAGTTCAGTAATTTCACTTAAATGGCAATGATAATTACCTATGAATTGTTATTTAAGTGAAATTACTGAACTTAAATATACAAGTTTGATAAAAATCATCATTAAAGAAGAAAATTTCAAATGACATTTAGAGGCTTTTGCATCTGAACTCTTCATATATACTTCAACTTAAATCTAAGTTCTTTAATTAGATTTTTCTTCTAATTTTTATGTTTTATTTTAGCTTTATTTCCGTTACTAAAAACTAATTTTACAAGTTTATGTTTTGTGTTATAATGTATATAATTTTTTACCCAAAAAAAGTTATGGACTGCAGCTTAAAGTTTATATATATATATATATATATATATATATATATAGTTCAGCATTATTTCGATTACAGATGGCAATTTTTTTTTTAAGCAATCTGCTTTTTTCTTTTTTTTTCTTTTTTTTATTATTAAATATTTCTGTTTTGCTTTAATTACATTTTTTATTTCATAATTTTAGCACTTAAACTTAGTTATCTTAAACTTATTTAATTGAAAACGATTTTTCAAAGTCTTAGTTTTAGTTAACAGCGACAGCACTGATATATACACACACTTTGATTCCTAATGTATGTGTGGTTCTGACATCTAAAGCGCCATTATTCAACAGTGTGAGTTCCTGAGTTCTTTCAAAGTGTATAAAACACCTTAGTTTATATATAATTAATGATATTCCTCAGAACACACACAGTATCTATCCGCCTGACACCTTCCCTTTCATCTGCCTGTGTGTGTGCGTAGAGGAGGATCAGGAGACATCTGGAGATTTCGGCAGCGGTGGTGCCGTGATTCTACTGGACGATCAGGAGGAGTCTCCGCAGCGTGGGCGGGGTCGACAGAAAGAGAGGCGGGGTCGACTCCACCCCCGCGGGGCGATCGAGGATGACGAAGACGGAGAGGATGACGAGATTGGCTACGTCTGGTAGCTCCGCCCACCCATCTTCTGTTAATTAACCAGGGACCCATGTTAAAATGCACAGTTCTGAAGCCATTCCAGCTCCGCCCCTCGGACACGCCCCCTTCTTCCTGCCCCGCTCTCATTCTGGATCCAAACTTGTCCTCCTCATTCTCTCTTTCTTTAGCCACCTCTTCACGTTCTGTCCTCTGTCTTCCCTCGCTCAAACACTCCTCTAGTATTCTAGATGCCTCTTTGCGGCTCTAGATGGTAGACGCGCATGACGAGATTGTTAAGCCTTCCGGGGCTTCTTACCAGTTCTACATAAGATCTTTTAAAAGGGTTCGTTCTCAGTGGTGGTATGCATGAACGCCACTGTAGAATGCATGAAACTGAGACCTTTGTGGGTGAGGATCAGGTGGGCTTGAGCCAAAGGCGCACTACAAGATTGAAGCTCATCATGCTTTTTATGCTCTAAATCCGCCACACGAGGCTGCAGATCGTAGCGCATGCTCATCAATAATGGTCTCTTTGTGTGAGACACGTGGCAACTAGTCAGAGATGCTATAATACATTTAAAACTAGATCAAATCTGAGTAAAGAGTGACATCAGTGAGAATATGAGAGTAACAGTAGGTTGAGACTTTTCCAAAACACTTTTTCCAACATATTTCTGTTAAAATGTGCAAATCTGTGCAAAAATGACCCGAGCCCTTCCTCTGTGTGGTTTGTGTGAATTACTCTGTGTGAGAATGAAAGAGTTTGGCTGGTGATTGCCGAGTGTAGTGTCACAAAAACAAGTGTAAATGTGCGCAGGATGATGAGCTTCAGTCATGCTGTGTGTATTTGACTTTGCTGCTTTTACGTCATTTCACAATTACTGTAATTAGAAGTAGAATTTTTGTATCTAGTATTTATATTTCAGATCATTTCCATTTACTCGAGATGCAGAACGACATTAGATATTAAGTCTTGCTTTCTGAGAAATTGATCAAAATGAAGCGAGTTCATTCTTAAACAATAACAAATATCTGCCAATGGGGTCAGAAAAATGTAATAATAATAACAATTTGACCATTTTAATGAACTTCAAGGTAATTTTTCTGACCCTATTGACAGATATTTATTCTTTCTTGTTTTGAGCAACTTCGTGAACTTTCCAAAATCAGGCAATTATTTTGCAGAAAACAAGACTTTAATGTTTAATGTTTCGTGTCATGTTGCATTTGAAGTACAGTGATGTGAATAAGTTTGGACACCCAAGCTAAAGTTGCCTAAAAAGAGGAATAAAAAATCATCTTTTGGATATTGATTTTAATGCCTTAATTAGAAAAATTAGGAAAACTCCAACCTTTAAGGACACAAATTTTCTTTGTGAATGAATAATGTATCATATATATAAATAAATATTTATCCTTAAAATACAGGGTGCATAAGTCAGGACACCCCTATGTTAAATTCCCATATGGTCAAACATTTATTTATTTATGATACATTATTCATTCGCAAAGAAAATTTGTGTCATTAAAGGTTGGAGTTTTCCTCATTTTTCTAATTAAGGCATTAAGATCAATATCCAAAAGATGATTTTTTTTATTCCTCTTTTTAGGCAACTTTAGCATGGGTGTCCAAACTTATTCACATCACTGTAAATGTATCTTGATTTAAGATGTTTAGATATTTCCACTGGGAAAACAACACAAAAATGTGCACATTTTTGTGTGTTGACCATTGTGGCGTCCTGTAAAAACAGCAAAAAACAGCAGCAGCTTCATTGCTTCAATGATTAACTAGTTATTTGACTGCCTGTTTGATTTCATTTCATTTGATTACAACCATTGTCATCTGGAGTGTTTTCTTTGTTCTTCAATATTTTGCAAAAGAATATAAACATGAATTAGTGTACCGTATTTTCCATAATTTGATGCCATGGTAGTAAATAACAGAGCAGTAATTCTGACACGATGTGAACGCAGCACGTCAGCCGTGAGCCTGATATCATCATTTGATAGTTGTTTTCAGCTGAAGATTTACATTCAAAGTCCTTCATTCTGTATTTTAAGGACTAAAAGTGAATGGTGACCTTTGCGTCGACTCTCTTTCACTGAGGCTTGAGAGTTTTGGCTTGACAGAATTCAGAAGCGATCAAACGGCTCGTCAGCCTGACCTTTTTAAAACCATTACCGAACGCTTCCTCTCGCCGAAAAACAGATGGCGAATGAAAAAGCTCTCTGCGTGACGGTTGCTGCGAGATGGATTTGGTGTCGTTAGCGAATGGGTGATTTTTGAACGAGTTCTGGGCCCTGGAGTCACATCCGCCTCCAATCATTCATCTCGCGATGTAATTCGTCATTTGATCAAATCTGAAATGGTTTGATCCGACCCAATATGTCAAGCTTAATCAGATTTATAAGCACATGTGAGGTTCATGCGGCTTGTGGAAACAGAATCATGGTTAGTTTTCCGCTTCTGATTTGCATATGAAATTTGAAATTGAATTGTTTTTTGGGCAATCTCTCCACTCGCACAGCACCAATTTCAATCCCACAATCCCCTGCTCGACTCCAATAGAGAATGAACTGGAGACGCCCGCTCTTAATGGATGATCCACGAGGCTCAAACACTGCAGAAGAGTTTAGTGCTGATATCAGATCACAGCAGCTTAGTTCTGTTCCTCTGACTTTACACACACTCGTTTCTCATCTCTCCGGCACGTCTTTTCTCACTCATGTCAGCTGCGTTTTGGAGCGCGAGTTCTGGAAGTTCTCCGCAGAAGGAGATGTCTCGCTCAGTGATCATAGACAGCGCTGCAGATGGATTATATGAAGCGTTGTTGCCCCCAGAGGGGAAGTTTCTGGGTGCCCCTGAGGGATTATGGGTAACAGAGGAACGAACTGATGGGCTTTTGGCTTCCTAACTTCTTTATTTTGCTGTTTTCCTTTTTCATTCCCTACGGAAATGATTATTTATCTCAGAGTAAAAGACACATTCACTGGACACACATGATTTCAGAGGAATATATAATCAGACAAAAAGCATTTACTCACCCTTATGTTGTTCCAAACCTGTATGATTTGTGTTTTGCCTTCTGTGAAAAGCAAAAGGAGGTTTTCAAAGAATGTTTTTTTTTCCCCATTACAGTTAAAACGAAAAAAATAACGTAAAAGCATCTTAAAAATAAAGGTTCTTTATTGGCGTCGAGGGAACCTTTCCGTTTAGTACAGCAGATTAGTAAAAAAAAATCATTCACTTTGGTATAGAAGCTTGAAATTTGGTACAGATACTCTCTCTTGGAAAAAGACGTTGGCCAATCAAATGTATTTTTTAAGATGGCCGCCATTGCTATTAAATGCTTATTATATCAATTATTCAAACCGTGATCCAAGCATAATATTTGATACAAAACTCTCTAAAGAACATGTTATTGGAAAAAGATGCTTGTCCCTCAAAAATTCAAGATGGTCGCCATTTTTAAAGATGACCACCGTTCTTGTTGAAAATTAATTCTTTCAATTGTTCAAATAGTGATGCAAACTTAAAATTAGGCAGACGTATTCTTCAAGGAACACTCTTTGGAAAAAGGTATGTACCACTCAAATCAAAATGGTCACCATCTTGAATTTTTGAGTGGCACACACCTTTTTACATAATACTGTTCATTGAAGAATATTTGTACCAAATTTCATGATAGCATCACCATTTGAAAAAAAAAAAACATTTAAGGATTCAAAAAAAATGGTGGCCATCTTGAAAAAAAATGGTTACCATCTTAAACTTTTTAAGGGGACAAGCACCATTTTCACCATTTGAGAAAAGAGAGTATTTTCACACAGTAGTTTGAACGACTGACATAATCAGCATTTGACAGAAATAGCGGCCATCTTGAAAAAAGATGCCACCATGTTGAATTTTTGGGTGGTCAACGCCTTTTTCACAAAAAGTGACCCTTAGAGAGTATCTGTGCCAAATTTTATGCTTCTATACCAATTTGAACGATTCTCTTGAAATATGCCATTAATCTGCTGCACTAGTTACACAAAAGGCTTTGGTTCTAGAGGATGTTCTTTACACTAACACAGTGTCTACATCAGACACAAGCTGTGCGACACGACAAGAACAAACAGAGCCCATTATAATCAGTGATGCTGTCTACACTGGATGCGGTGCGAAACGACACGACAGATTCCCGATTCCCTGTTGTGTTTATGACATGATTCAAGCACTCGTACTACTGACACGGGGAACAAATGAATTTGCAACGGTCGCTTTGTCGCATCCTGTGTAGGGTAGACAACCTCCAGCTGTCCGGTGTAGACGATGCAAGGAAAAATGGGTATTTTAAGAACTCTAAGAGCATTTCAGTGGTGTTGCTGTAAAAACCCTCTTTAGGAACTTTTATTTTGAAGTAACAGCAGTCCATGTGACTAATCCACTAGATTTAATGTCCTAATAAGATGCTTTCGACCTACATTTAAGAAATGCATCTTATTAGACTTTATTAAATATATGAAAACATTAAATATGACACCAAACAGAAAGTCACGCACGTGTGGAACAACATGACGGTTTGTCCGTTGAATCCCCTGAAATAGGGCTGCATGAAATCAAATTGCTATATAAAAACTGATTAAAAAAAAAAGCTCCAGGTTTGCTGTGCTTGTTTGTAGGGCTGCACAATTTGGCCAAAATGTTGTCATTTTATATGGACGTCTATAAAATAATATTAATAATAACAATTTTTTGTTTGTTTTTTATTAAAAGTTTAGAGCTCTTAAAAGCCTGGTTTATAACCCCTTCTCACTGCAATTTTGAGAAGATGCTTAGCATGTTTTCTAATAAAAGCATGTTAAAAGTGACCCAAAGTCATATGTATTTAATTAAATCACAGCCTTTGTGATTTAATACTTGTACTAAGCCATATCGCGATTTCGGTTTTATTTCAATCAATCGTGCAGCCCTATCCTGCAATATGAGCATCAGGCTACAGGAAACCCATCCTTCTTTCATTCTGAATCCCTCTCTCTCTCTCTGTCTATCAGTCATATTCTCATGATGAGCTGAGGGCGTCTCTCACACACACACACACACACACACACCGTATCTGATCTTTGCAGAACTGCATCATGGACTTCTGATGATAACATTGACCTTTGACCTTTGAGGTGACCTCTCCCCTCCTCTAGTGCTGCTGTGTGTCTGATGCCTGGCCTGCAACTGTAAACTTCCCCAATCCTCTCCCGTCCCGCCTCTGCCTGCTTCGCTCCTGTACAAAGGTGCAATAAAAGCTTCGTCATGATGTTTTCACTTATTTTACCGCACACACACACACAGGTGACCCGAGCGCTCACACCTGCAGCCACAGATGAAACAGTCGATGGCCATATTTGCAAGAGTTTCCTTTGTTAATTCTCTATATTTTTTACTCTGTAAAGACAATAATTAATGTGTAAAAAAAGAAGAAAAACGCTGAATGTTCAACTGGAGATGTAATTAATGACGTCATGTGGCTTCGTCCATTTGCCTTGCCTGAGTCTGGATGTGTAAAAACCCTCCTGTGGTCCTGAGTTCAGTGTACAGACCCTCTTCTCGCTATTTGTCTGTCTCTCTATCCGTCTGTCTCTCTTTCCACTCAAGCAGCGCCGGTGTTCAAACTGGCCCAATATGGGATGGTTCCATGAAAACCTTTAACATTCATTCCAGACTGCAACATAGTGAACCACATGTACCGGATGTGGGCCGGATCTGGGCCGTCACTGTGTTGCTGTCTGGGATGAGGTTCTTTACTGTGGAAAAGGGTTATTTTTAGGTTGAAGAACTGTTCTTTGGGGAACCAAAATGTTCTCTTCTATTGCAACGCTTTCGGAAACTTTATTTTAAAGAGAGAGTATTTATCAAAATTGTTCTCAAAAATCATTGAACCACTTCAGAGTTCGTGAATTTACTGCCCTAGTGGACATTGTTAAAGGAGCTGTATGCAAGAAATTTATTTCAAATTAATTATAAATTTTCCCTGATATGTCACTAGACATTAAGAAATCCTGTTCATTTCACTGACAACAGCAGTCCGGCCAGGATATTGTCATTTAAAAAGTGAAGTCGCAGCCCTCGACTGATGTTGATGTTGTCATGTTGTGTTTTGTTCTGATGCGTCACCCTCCACCGATCTACCAATCACAGAGTCAGAAATGTTGCGTCATTCGGGTTGCCAGCTCTTCTCTCGTTACCACAGCTACAAACGTGTCGGAATCAGATAAAAAAATTCTAACGTTGCGAAACCCTCAAAAACTCGATATGAATCCGAAATACTTTGTTACAAAGTCCGAAATTAATAATTAACAGAAAAAAACTCACTGTGTTGGACTCGTCACTTGCCATTGGAAGCTTTTTGTAGAAGCCTAAGTTCCTGGTGGATCCTACAGCATATCTGGCAACCTCGAGTCACGGGAGAAGGCGGGGAAACACCCTAATTTGAAAGTGACTGCAGTACCAGTTTTGGCCACAATGGTGTCGTTAGCGAATCTGTGTTTTTTGAACGAGTTCTGGGTCCTGGACTCCAATCATTCATCTCGTTCTGCATTCGTCATTTGATCAAATCTGAAATAGTTTGATCCGACCCAATATGTCAAGCTTAAACAGTTTTATAAGCACACGTGAGTTTCATACGCCTGGTGGAAACGGAATCGTGGTTAATCATGGCATTTAAAAAGTGAAATCGCAGCCCTCGACTGATGTTGATGTTATCATGTTGTGTTTTGTAATGAAGCATCACCCTCCACCGATCTACCAATCACAGAGTGTTGCGGCATTCGGGTTGCCAGCCCTTCTCTAGTTACCACAGCTGCAGATACAAACGTGTCGGAATCAAATAAAAAAAAATTCTATCGTTGCAAAACCCCCAAAAAACTCAATATGAATCTGAAATACTTTGTTACAAAGTCCGAAATTAATAACTCGCTGTGTAGGACTCGTCACTTGCCGTTGGAAGATTCTTGTAAAAGCCTACATTCCTGCTGGAACCTGCAACATATCTGGCAACCTCGAGTCAACCTAATTTGAAAGTGATTGCAGTACCAGTTTTGGCCACAATCTTGCATACAGCTCCTGTGATCTCAAAATATCAGCGGATCACTCATTAGTTAAGCACTAGCTCTGGATCCGAACTAAACGTGACCCCTGCTGGTTTGGATTCAGTAACATCAGATGTTTAGCCGAGTCTCCAGCTGAACGCTGGCACTGTTTCAGTGGTTTCTCTCTGTTTTCGTGTTCTCCCGTCATTCCCCCTCCTGATCGAGAGTCCCAAGTGGAATGTTCTTAATTTTCTGGGTTTGCTCCGTTTGGTTTGGTTTTTCGCTCTTTTTATTTTATTTTTTATTTTTAACTGTATAATGGTTCCTTGAGAAAATGTTTGTCTGAATAAAACTGGAGTTTGTCCTCGTCCAGTTCTTCTCCAAATGAGTCTTTTCTTGTGGCTTGCGTTGGAAACTGGTGGCTGTGAATCATCTTAAGGTTTGAGAACTGGTTCTTATTTAAAAAATTATAGAGTTGAAGCGCGTTCGGGTCCATTAGCCGTTCTTGAACATCTATCATTTAAATCGGGTGACAAATGGACTGGGTGAGTTTTCATTTTATGCCGAATTATTCCTCCGAAGTGAATACATGTGGACGTTTTCTGCAGAACAGATTGAAATATGACTCTCATCTAGAAAATTGTAATCCCTCCACTGCAACCTTAATGTCATCAATGATCTCCATGTAGTGATGTATTGATTGTTGTCTGAGACACGATTTCCCATGGATACGCCCTCAGAACGGAGCCGCACGCATCCGTCAAAGCTAATGATCTCCAGCCGACGCGGCACACTTTCTTCCTTTGTCTTCATTTGATAAGCTTTATCCCGCCATTGATTTCATAAGACCCGATTTATACGCTTTAATTCATTAGGCCGGCAGGAAAATCCATTATTTTGTCAGTCACTCTTGCTTTGCGTCTCTGTGTCGCCCACTCGTTCTCTCTCTCTCTGGTCTCACTCCATTTAGGACGTGCTAACCGATATGGTTTCAGTGGGAGTCTAGAACAGTCCTCTTCTTCCAGAAATCTTTATTGAAGTGGGATCTCCTCTCTCTCGGCTCCTCACCTCTGATATAAGCAATTTCGGGCTGACAGCGGGCGTGGAGTTTATTTACAGACGGTAAAGTGGGAATTTGCACCATCTGGACTCCTCAACATACCTGCATTCAACATGTCAATTTGTCCTCTTTCAGACTTCGTCAGAAAACAAGAGAGCTGTTCCTGAGGTCTCCAGAGGGATTGTGGGTAGTCGCAGCATATGGCAGAACGTGTGTTCCCTCCACGAGTGAGACAGCGCTCAGCATTATTTCCCTTTGTTATGGGTCAGTATGACGGATTCAGATTTGCTGAACTGAATTAAAAAGTAAAATGAGGTTTTTACGTTTCTTCCCGTCTCGTGTCGTGTTTCTGACACGCTTTGGGAAATCCTAAAAGTAGTCTATGACAAAAACTATTATATTTTTGCATCATAAATTTGACTTTTTATCTCATAATTCCAAATTAGTGTTTCATAATTTTCCACTTTTTGATGTCGCGAGTGACTTTTTCCTCATCTGTTTTCTTCAATCTTACACAATTTGGCCACAATTTTTGGCCTCAGACTTTTTCTCATACTTGTTTTCTTCAATCTTATACTTTAAAGTTTTTATATCATGATTTTAATAGTCATACTCATAATTATGACTTTTATCTCAGTTTTCCCTTTCATAATTACAGCTTTTTATGTCATAATTTTGATTTAATATTTCAGAATTTCAAGTTATCTTATAATTTTAACTTTCCATTATAATTGACTTTATATATCATACTTTTGACTATTTAACAACTTCAACTTTTAATGTCATAAGTTTTATCTTTTATCTCATAATTGTGACTTATCTCATAATTGTGTAATAACATTTTTATCAAAATATTCTCCAACTTTTTATCATATAATTACGACTTTTTGTATATAAAATGGTATTTTATGTCATAGATATGATTTACCGAAGCATAATTTTCAGACTTCCCTGTATATGAGAAGAGCCCTGAACTCTCAAGTCTCCATGATAATCAGATCTCTTGATATGGCAGAGCTTTAATACTCAGTGTTTGCGGTTTCTAAAAAACCCTAGTCGTATGCTCATGTTTGCCTTGGTGTATATCACTAGCACAAGCTCATTCATACTGAAAGGTGGATTGTGAGTAGGTAAATCCAGAGGCGATGAAGTCGGCAGGCCTTTCTCGTTCAGATGGGGTTCGCCGGCCACTAGAGGACGGGCTGCTCTTCCCGTTCTGCCATATTAAAGTAGAATAACAGCCTCATTCAGCCTGTCAGTCAAGCTAAAAAGGCACTGAACTGCTTTTCCTCGTGTTTGACCTTCGCTGCTTGAATCTCTCTCTCACACACACACACACACACACGGGTGGATTAGTAGCGCTGCGCCTGCAGCAGTGTCAGGGAAAATACAGCCTACATTCTGGCCTGGATCTCGACTCTCTGTAAAACTATTTATATTTATGACACTGACGCTCCTCAATTCATCATTAATCCACTTAATATTTTAGAGCTGATGCATAAAGCAGCTCTCGTCAGATGTGACGGCAATGATCTCATGGAGATTATAACATGCACACGTGACAAATAAGCATGTCTGAGATGATCCTGTTGGTTTCGTTCGGTTTTTAAATGGTTTTATACTACTTTAATTTCATTTAATGACTCAATCTACACCTTTTCCAGTTTTACTTAACTACATTAGTTAACATTAAGTAGCAATGAAAAATACCTCTAGAGCATTTAATAATGTAATACTGTTTGTTAGTTAATGTTAGCTGCTATTCTGAATTCAGATTTTGAAATACCAGACAAACTATATATACTATATATATATTAGGCCTATAATAAATGTTTTTAAACAACTGCATCATTGCTTGTTTTTATAATAATAAAATATTTACAATCTCAGGATGTTTACACCACCTAGACACTTTTACCGTTAAAGCCTCTCAAACGTTTTACAGTCATTGAGAATTCTTTCATTAAAAACATCTCCATAAGTAAGGATTTATTCACACTATTATCTGCTTGAACAGCATTTTTAATGTAAAATAAAAAAATAAAACCCAAGGCTCTTGTTCTAAAATGTAAAAAGCTTTTAATAAATTGGATTGACTAACTGAACCTAGCATTAGTTTTTAAGGTGCAGTAGGCGATTTCTGAGAAACACTGTTAATATTTGAAATCATCCCAAACAAACACACTCCTTTCTTCATTGCTCCGCCCCCAAAGTACATGAACATGCAACACAAGAGTGGATGTCTCTTTATCATAGCTAAAGCAAAGCAAAATAATGCTAAAAATAAAGCTTTTGCCTGATCATAACACTTCTTTTTCAGTGATATTCCTCTGACCTTTTCTCTTTTGTAATGTCTCTCAGCCATCTCTCTTTCTATAGTCTTTAAATCTCCTTCTTGCTCACTCACTCTCTCTCCTCCCCCATCATGAGTGGACACGCCCCCTACTGCCAATTGGCATCCCCACCCCCGTCCCATTTTGAGTGGACTTTTGATTGAATCACTCTTTTTCCTCCCCATCATGAGTGGACACGCCCCCTACTGCTGATTGGCTCACTCATTCTCCCTATCATTAGTGACACGCCCCCTACTGCTGATTGGCTCACTCATTCTCCCTATCATTAGTGACACACCCCCTACTGCTGATTGGATCCCTCTTTCTCCTCCTCATCATGAGTGGACACGCCCCCTACTGCTGATTGGATCCCTCTTTCTCCTGATCATCATGAGTGACACGCCCCCTACTGCTGATTGTCTGCAAGTGTGTTGTGCTGCTCAGTTTATTGAAGTGTTTTTACGTTTCTCAACATGATTTCCTTTGACATTTTTTTTTTAATTATTTTTAGCTCACAAGTTACCTCTTATATTCCCAATATATTTTTAGGGCCGCTGGTTGTGCTTCTGATTCCAGGTCCGATTGTAAACACACTTCAATCCAGATCAGTCCACAAACACGTGTCACATGTCAGACGGCAGCTGATCCCGTGGCAGTCTAACATTTCACGCCGGTCTGTCTCAGAAGTGGAAGCTGATGTGCTTGTGGTGAGTTTTCATCAGGTTTCCTCAAAGACGGGATTCACTGAGTGTAAGAAACGTGTCTGAGTTCCCGAAGGGATTATATCAGTCTGAAGGCATCGTGAACTCAAGCCTGAAAGCCGAGCGGATGTCGTCTCTCACCCCTGAAATAACCCCGACACACATCCACCTGAACGACAGATAACATCCTCTGAGAGCAAATCAACCGGTGTGTGTGGAGCGAAACACTCTGCCCGTCCCTGTCACTCACAGTTAATGATGCTTCTTTATCAATAAAGAAAAGGAAAAGAAGGGAACATGCAACCTCATGAAGAAATGCAGCAAACTAATGCTAGATATGTTTTGATGTCGTACAATTACTTTTTAAACACTATTTATGAAGCCACTATGCAGTATATATTAATATTGATTTTGAAAATATGATTATTTATTTAAAATCAAATAGATGCTAATAATTAAAAATAAAGTATACAGTGTTAACTCTTCAAATCTTAACTCTTAACTTGAAATCTTTAATTTATGGTTGACTATAACAAAGATTTTTTAAAACTGTAATTCAAATAAATGAAAATGTTAAATGTAATTTAAATACATAAATGTTAAATTTAGACCAAAATATTTTTAGTGTACTGTGAGAGCAGATGGCTGTGGATGGAGAGAGCAGACTGGACCAGTGACAGGTGTGTGTGTAAAACCCAAAGATGGCGATATCTGAAATCGTTGTCCTTGTGAGGACATTTGTTGGTCCCCACGAGGAAACGGCTTTTAAATTAAATCATAAATCATAATCAAGGTGAGAATATATAATGTTTGTACGGTATAAAAATCATTATGCCTATATGGAAAATGCCCAAAAAATCATGAAAACCCAACAAATATTATACTGCTAATATTTGTCAGTTCTTGACACACACTCACATGTGACTACAACTAATGTTAAGCTTGAATCATAACACTGAGTCCAACCTTTAAACCTGACCTTTGACATCTGACCTCAAGGTCAACAAGAAATCAAAAACGCATTCTGTTTACATTCTTCTTATTGTAAATTATCAGTGCATGTTATTATAAAGAAACTGGAGTACTAAACAAATAATAGAGTTGAACAATGACCCTATTGTCTTCTGAGAGCTGCTTTACAGCAGAACATTAAAGTCCCCGTGAACCGGAAGTTGCAAACGATTTTTCTCCAGTGCTGTGACGTATTTCCAAGTGAAACGGAATATTGAACAGAGGGCAGGGTTTTACTCTAGCGCTCCTCCTCTCCATCTCTCGCTCATAGCAAACTAACGGTTTGAGGGGAGTGGTTAAGCGTTTCCCCACCCAAGTTGTGAAACCTACGTCATCAGAAAAAGAAACCGTTCCAGACCGGAAGTAGCTTTTCAGATTTTGATTAAAGATTACCAAGGTAAAACATTTTTTAAATATATTTTTACTTGCACGGATTAATTGTTCACCACAAGACTAGTAATATGCGCTAACAAAGTAAATAGGTTCAATTTTGATTTCACGGGGACTTTAACATATTTACTGTTTATTAATATTAAGCTGCTTTGAAACAAGCCATATTGCATAAAGCCCTACAGAAATAAAGAGGATTGGACTTGACCTTCGATCTTAACCCTGAAGAGGAACAAATGAAAGCGCTGAGTATGTGTGAAATCACATCTGATGAATGAGTCTCAGCGGCTCTGTTGACTCGTGATGGCATCAGTTCCTCAGCAGATATTTCTCTTCATTTGATCTCGTCATGTTGAAGCATTATCTGCAATAGAGGCCAGATGTCTATCAAACACGGACATGACTCCCATTTCCCCCGTTTTTTGCATACTGATGTGTGAATAGGAAGTCATGTGTGTTTAGGACACATTTGCATACTTGAATTCTGCCCATTACCCAGTGTCCTCTCTGCCAGAAGATCCTGGCAGAGCCTGAAAGCGTTGTCATCTCCCCCGCAACGATCTATCATTCCTCTCCGAGTCATCTGGTACCAAGCTTTTCCATTTGGAACAAATCTGTTGGCCGGAGTTTCTGCCTTGGCCGTGTTGCGGCCCAAAAGGCCTCTAAAAGCACCACATAACATCTAATGAAATGATGGAGGAGGAGCAAACCGGATTAATCCGGATCCAGCTTGAATCCTTCTAAGAGAGATTTGGAGAAACCACATTGATGATTGTGCTGGTCTCAAATAAGAAAAAAAAATGGATAATTGGTGGTCTCAAATACTTCCTGGACCAGGCGCATAACGTTTTTGTCTTTGTTCATAACTTTTTTAGGTCGGTTACATAAAAACATAGATTGGTCTAATTTGATACAGAAAAGTAAGCTATCATATATCCAATCATAACTGATTATGACCGATCATATCCAATCATAACCGATCATATCCAATCATAACCTATCATATCCAATCATAACCGATCATATCCAATCATAACCGATCACATCCAATCATAACCGATCATATCCAATCATAACCGATCACATCTAATCATATTCAATCATAACCGATTATATCCAATCACAACTGATCACATCCAATCACAACCGATCATATACAATCATATATACAATCATAACCGATCATATATCCGATCATATCCAATCATAACCTATCATAGCCAATCATAACCAATCACATCCAATCATAACCGATCATATCCATCCAATCATATATCCAATCATAACCGATTATAACCAATCATATTCAATCATAACCGATCACATCCAATCATAACCGATCATATTCAATCATATATCGAATCATAACCGATCATGTATCCAATCATAACCGATTATTACCGATCATATCCAATCATAACTGATCATATCCAATTATAGCCGATCATATCCAATCATAATTGATCATATCCAATCATAATTGATCATATCCAATCATAACCTATCATATCCAATCATAACCGATCATATCCAATCATAACCGATTATATTCAATCATATATCCAATCATAACTGATCATATCCAGTCATAACTGATCATATTCAATCATATATCCAATCATAACTGATCATATATCCAATCATAACCGATTATAACCGATCATATTCAATCATAAATCCAATCATAACCGATCATATATCCAATCATAACTGATCATATCCAATCATAACTGATCATATCCAATCATAACCGGTCATATCCAATCATAACCGATTATATCCAATCATAACTGATCATATCCAATCACAACCGATCATATCCAATCATAACCGATCATATCCAATCACAACCGATCATATCCAATCATAACCGATCATATCCAATCATAACCGATCATATCCAATCATAACCGATCATAACCGATCATATCCAATCATAACCGATCATATCCAATCATAACTGATCATAATGATCACATCCAATCATAACTGAACCTGGGGGGGCAGGAGGCAGTGTCACTGTAACTTAGTGTTTCTTAACAAAAACGAGTGATTAATACACTTTTTAATGTCACATTTCGTTTTTACTTTCGTAATATTGATTGTTTCTCATCCATTAATGTTTTTTAGGAGACACTGGCTCCTCTGAGGAAACGCCATGTAAATCTAATCTCTAATTGCTGCAATCTCTCCGTGAAGTCTGCACGGGAGTCGTTTGCCTATAACGTTAACGACACGGAAGAACGATATCGCTGGAATCAATTTCAGAACTGATGAATGAAATGCTGAGCATTGAAAGTGCGCCTATAATAAACAGAACATTATCGTCCATTGGCGCGAACGCTAATATAGTTTGTTCTTTGTGTGAATGGGCCTTTCCTGTAGGCTATATAGGCATGCAAAATAAGATGGACACTGTTTAATTAACAGATATAAATGCAAGTGCACAATCAGCAACTCCCAGGCCCCCTGAGACCCCGTGTCCTTCGGTTTGCTAAATCAGTTTCAGTCTATTTCCAGAATAAAAGCATTGGCATTTAATTCCACATGACGTTAAAAGATGATTCAGGTTTTTATAGTGTAGTAATTCCTGTGCTGATGTGCCGGTGGAGCTGTTGCTGCAGTGAGTGTAATGACCATCTGCCTCCTCTGATAACTGCAGTAAACGCTGACCTGACTCCAGCAAACGTCCTCACACCCTCATGCAACCATCCCAAAATAACCCGGGCATCGGCGGGTGTGATGAGCAGCGCTGCTGAGATTATCCTCCGTAAATCACTGTTATCACAGAGCGCCTCCGCTGGGGTTTCTTGGCCTGCAGGCCTAAACACTTGAGACTGTGTAAAACCAGCAAAAACAATGAATAATAAACATACAAAATGTACTTTCAATAAGAGTGTGAATTGTTGTGACTATACAGAATGCGTTGCGATTTTGTATCATGTATATGTTCAAAGGTGTTTGTACAACGCTTACAAGGCAACATGGGAAATGCGAATTATGATTGAACCGTGACAACAGGCTCAATATGCAAAAAAAACAAAAACAAAAAAAAGGAAAAATTAAGACAATTAAGTCTGCCAAGAATAATCAGATAGCTTGGTTTGGCTATATAAATATACTGAATGAGTTTTTTTTTTTTTTTTTTTTTAAATGTAAGTGTGTGCGTGAGAGAGATATCATTGTCAATGACAATGTCTCCCTCTGCTGGTTACTCATGAAAGTTACAGCTGTAATTTGCCAATGAGACACAATACACACACTTTACACATAGCCTACACGTGGAGAAATGACACCCCCTTCAACGTCCTACTAGTAAAATAAGCAAATTAAAAAGAAGTTAATACATGACTTATTTCACTACCTTTCTGGGTAGTTGAATGTTATTGCCCACTTTACGATTTTAGTGAAACAAATAGGATATGTCATTAAAATGACTAGAAAAATCGTAAAGGAAGAGTGGTACTGTTCATTTTAAAGTAGGCTACCATATTGGCATAATTATGTTTACATACAATATTGCCAAACATAAAATAAACGATGACAAGTAAAGGTAGAATTAGAGTAAGGATCCAATTATTATTATTATGTTATTATAATATATAACAATTATAAATGCTTTATTATTATTGGACACTTTATTCAAAGCATGTTTTATATAGGCTACGTTGGAGTAGAATAACATGGCTATGTATCATGCTATGATTTATTTTAAATGGCAAAAAAAAACATCCATTTCCAATCCTTCTCATTCATGTTATTAATATGGTATTAAACATAGTACATGTATTCACAATCATCATTAATGTCATTACATATTATGTGTATGCTATGCTAGTACACAGGCTAACTAAAACTGATTATAACGTAGTTCAAACAGCATTTATCGCATAGCACGATTTTGTAGGAATTGTAAACAGGCGCTAAAGAGAGTCTAATAAAAGTAGTTTAAGCCAATGGGATCGCTTGGGGTCCTAATGGAGGACCCTACTCGTCACCACAAGTCTTAGCCAATTAAAACGAAGAAACGCTGTTTCTACCCGTAGAAATAGAATAAGAGGCTAGAATGGAATATTAATACTAAAGTGGCTGGTATTTAGAGCGGCCCGTATATATATATAATGGAAGAATCGATATTATTTTTTTCATGAAAGAATTGTTTTAACTTCCTGTTTACACAAAAAATTTACTATTTGAACGTTGCTCAATGGAGGTTTTGTCATAGATATCTATGGTTACGCTCTCTGGGCCACCGAGCGCCCCCTGCAGGAAACAAATGGTACGTCTCATTTAGAATCATTTGGGGTCCAGTGGTTTCTATGCTTCTATGCAGGTAACCAGGAAGTGAACCACTGAAGCTCCTCCTCCCACGTGTATCCGCAGGAACCGGCGGCGGCGTGACGCGTGTGGAACAGACAGACCGACCGACCGAAACCGGAGGGAGAGAGTCAGGTATTTTTAATGATCAAATATCTAACATGGAGCTTTATATGTGTGTTGAAATAGGATTTTGAGTACTTTGACGGTGTACTTCGACGTTTACCGAATTTAAGTCGGACTCAAATGTTACTTCAAACAATAGAATAACACCTCCGGTCGTTACACGTCCGGAAATCAGAGTAAAACCATGGTACTTTGTTGTAGTTTTTGTTGGTGCGTCCTTAGAGAGGGTCGAAGTCACCGATCATCAGGCGCTCGTGTGGACGCACTCATCCGGGCAGGACACACAGACGCACGCGCGCGCGCACACACTCACACACACGGGTCAGTCCCGGTTTTAACGGGAGTTTCTTTCCGCTGTTGCAGGACCGAAGATGGCAGATGATCCGAACGCGGCGGACAGAAATGTGGAGATCTGGAAGATCAAGAAACTCATCAAGAGTCTGGAAGCGGCGAGAGGGTGAGCGAGTTCGCGTAGAAGTGTGTGTTTGACCGTGTTTTGGAGAGAAACAGGATAATTATGTGTCTTAAATGTGTGTTAGTTCGGTGGTTTACATCTGGACTGGCAACTGAAAGGCTGAAGATTCAAAACACCACATATAATTCATTATCTGTGCCACTGCCACCACATGAATGCATCACACACACTTCACACAGTAGTCAACACTTGAAGTGGATCAAAACCTTTCAACAAAGTTTTACATGAATTTTGATCGAAACTTTGATTCACTTTTTTGATCAACTTCAAATATTGGCTACTGTGTGTGTATAACGTTATAAATTCGTTTACATGGGTGAACAAAAAGTTTTGGTGAATAGAAAACTGTTCTATTTTAAATAAATTCTGTTATTTTTTTAACCTTAAAAGTATATTAAAACAGAAATTATATAATTATATATATAGAATATTAATTTTGAATTGGAATACTTTTTCACATTACTATTTGTTTTTATTTTATTTTTTGATCAAATGCAGGGTTAATGAGCATAAGAGACTACTTTCAAACTTTAAAAATAGTAAATTAGTAATATTAATTACTTGGCACTGGTATATATGCTATTCATGTCTAAAGTACAAATGCTGCTGCAGAACAACACACACACACACACACACACACACACACGTGTGTTTACTTATCTAAATAGGGACGTTCCATAGACGTAATGGTTTTTATACAGTATATATTCTCACCTTACTCTAACCTTTCCCTTAAACCTTCCCGTCTCACACAACTTTCAGCATTTTAAATTTATTTTTATACCATTTTTATAAATGATGTCCCTAAAGGGAGGATTGGTCATTTTTGGGTACAAATTTGTCCCCAAAGTATAGTTAGGAAAGGTACACACACAGAGAGAGATAGTTTTGGGGTTTTTTTATAAGGAAGAAGCCCCAATTGAACTATCTCTCTCTGTCTCTGTGTGTGTGTGTGTGTGTGTGTGTGTACATTTACTAATACCAATCCCTAACATTTAAGTATGTGCAATAATGTTGATTCCTGCCATAGTAAAAGCGCTAATGACAAGTTCCTCGAGCTGCATGTCCGGGCGGCTCTGTCTGATTTGATCTGTGTGCGCTTATGTTTTTAATCTCAGTGAGTTTAAACCAGGTGTGTTTAGTTAGGACCTTCTAATAACCATAATTACTCATTAAACAGTGCACTCATTATAAGTTCATATAGGAGACTTATTCAAGGCCACAAGTGTTATTGTTCATGATCAGCCTGTGCTGGATTTGATCCTGCAACCGACCCTTCTGTCAGCCATGAGTTTGATAATCGAATTGGAAAGGAAGGAAATGTGTGTTTTCTACACTTCATTCACCTGTCGTTTGTTAGGATGGAGGTTATGCATGTGAGCTTTGTATCAAGCTTGTGTATATTGGTCTATTTGAAGAACCAATACATGTGTTACAGAGCATGTAAATGCGTCATTGGCATGAACGTTTGGCACTCATGCTTTCATTTTGACAGGTAGTTGAGCTTCACAACAACACAGACCTTCATTCAAGGGTAAATTCCCTGTGTGTGTGCAGGATGGTAGTAATTCATGCTCTCATGCACAAATGAATTGTCGAATCCCACATCAGAACCTGAAACTCTTTGCTTTCCATGCGTGAGTGCCGCTGACCTTCATGCCACGTGTGTGTGTGTAAATAAACCAAACTGTGTTTTGACCCTGATACCACCTCAGATGTATGTTTGAAGTCGGTCTCAGTTTTAGCAGAGTGTGTGTTTGCGTAAGAGAACTCTAGAAATGCCACTTTTGTCAGATGACAATACTGAGGCCTTCGACCTCTTTGTGTCTCTGACACTCTTTGGCTCACAAAAGCTGATGCATAACATATAGAGAAGGCAATCCCAGAATGCATTGTTATGGAAAAAGCCATCCAAGATAGCAAACAAACTGAAAAATGTTACAATTAATAGAGAAATGTAATGATTTAAACCCCATGTTTCTGTTGGTGGAGGAAGTACTGAATCTCAGTACTTCAGTAAAAGTACAAATAACCAGATAAATATTTACTTTAGTAAAAGTAGAAATAACACAATGACAACCATACTTAAGTAAAAAGTAGCTGATTTTAAATGTACTTTAAGTATTAAAAGTACTTGCATAACAATTGATTCTCTTAATGGCTATTTTCTAATGATTAATAAAACATTTAATTCTAACTCGTTCCACCTAATACTCCTATAATGATGTTCAATAATGATGGAAAAAAAATGTCACCATTTCTAAAACAAGCTTGCAATTAGGCAATATAAACCATGCTTATTCTTACTATATGTTAATAACTATGTTTGGCAGTAAACATGATTAATTTATGGTGTAATTCTGAGCCTCTTGGCTTGCCATGATCCTAACCAAACGTATTTACACACGGTGTGTTTCCTATGCATGTAAAAACAAATTTTCGCGTATAAATTGCACGATAAACACACTGCGTGCGAGACGCAGTTAGTTGATGTATCTACAGGGGTTGGACAATGAAACTGAAACACTGGCCAATGTTGGAGGTTTCACATCAATATGCCTGGCGGCCAATCTTCAGAGTGAAGCACGGGTGGATCAGTGATGGTTTGAGCTCCAATATCATGACAATCCTGATTGTATTTGATGGAGACGACACTGCCGAGGACTACCAAACCCTTCTGGAGGATCATGAGCACCTGATGCTCAAACCGTGTATCAGCATGATCATGCACCAACACACGCAGCAAGACTTGTGACAGAAGGGTTTGATGAAGATGAAAGTGACGTT